TTTTCCTAACAGCCATGTGTCTTCCTGGAAATGAACTGAAAGAGGGAAGAACAGATAACAGTCTATCTGTAACATCCCTGTAGGAATTATGTACTTGCCTGCTTGCCTTTTGCATGGAGTGTGTGTCTCAAAATGGAGCCATATTTGTCTTAGCCTCTGGAAATCTGATTCTTTTACAAGGGACAGATCCCAGAGCTCTATGTGAGAGCAGAGACTTGCTCTGGTGCTATCTGGTGGTGTTACAAACATACTGTTCAACACAGATACAACCTCTGGCTCTGGAAACTCCTGAGCTGCTCTTCGTTTGGAGGGTAGATGTAAGAGGGAGATGTACATGCAGTGGTTCTTGTACTCTTCCAGAAGCATCTCTTACTGGCAGCTGTCAGAGACCTTTAAAACAGCTGTATTTTTATGATCTTTGCAAATCTTTGTTGTCATGCAGCCATTCACATATTTCTGTGCACAAAAATGCAAGCGTGAAAGCAAACAGAAGGATGTGCCACAACTTTTGCTAATACCATGCAGATGAACTGAAGCAGTTTCATCTGCCCAGCTGCTAATTTTCTCTCTGATTTGTCTCCTTTGACTCAGTGAAACTTGCAGTTGTCTCTTCTACAAGTCACTTGTTGACTTAAGAGCAGTCCAGAGCTTGGATTTCCCATGATTATGTAGCTTCTTCTGTATTTTAACTTTAATGTATGACTTCTTCACATTTTCAACATCCAAGCCATTAGGACCATAAAATGTCAAGGGTAACCTTCACATATATGGATAACTTGTCTCTTCAAGCTAGGCAGTAATTGTAATTTCATACATGGGTTCCATGCCATGTGGGCAGATTGGCATTTGCTCTCAAATTTAAATGTTTTAATTGGAGAAATCTTCTCAGTTTGCTCTGTGAAGCTGCTGTCTTCAGTGAGCTTAAAAGGAAAACCTTATTTTATTGGAAGTCATATTGTACAACGTAAAGATGAGCCATATCCATCTACTGATCCATTCAATAACCTGTCACACAGGGTGACAAACCACACAATGCGTGGGTCCTTCTTCGGGTGTGTAAGTTAAGCAGTTAGAAGGATGTTCAGCCTGGAGAAGAGAAGGCTTCTGAAGGGGAGACCTTAGAACAGCTCCAGTGCCTAAAGGGGCTCCAGGAAAGCTGGAGAGGGGCTTTGGACAAGGGCCTGTAGGGACAGGCCAAGGGGAATGGCTTTAACCTGCCAGAGGGGAGACTGAGATGAGCTCTTGGGCAGAAGCTCTTCCCTGTGAGGGTGGTG